TTTTCAAAAAGGACATGGTGGGTCAAGATAAGCAATTAAGAATCCACAAGGTCCCAAAAGAAAGTGGCATAAACCATTCACCTTGAAATCATATCTCACATAATGAAAATTTCTTTAGAATGACCTGCCATGAGGATACTTTACAAGGGAAGGATAATTGGTGCGATAGGTGGAGTAAGGCTAAAGATAAGGACATTATTTATTGCATTTTTGAATGAAGAAGCTTGGCCTCTCCCACTATGGATGAAACATGGAAAAGAGAAACTAAAGGAACATGAGAATAAAAAGGAGGAACATTGTTAACTATTGTTTTTCCTCTCACCTTTAGACACATTGGTGTGTGCTAGCTAGTGTAAACATCAACCTCCCCCCACTAAAATAATATCCATGTGCCAACACCACCTAGGCTTACTCATCCCATTAATGCTTTCTTGGAGTTTGTGGTCACAACCCCAACTCCCCCATCTTGGGTAAAATCATTATGCCTTTGCCACCCTCTCTTTCTTTTCAGTGGGGACTTTGTCCAAAAGTGTCTATAGGTCCTTCTTGTCTACATTAGCCACTCCTCCAAAATCTAAATAATTCTAAACCCCATGGTTGAGATATGTACTCATTATATCTAGTGTCTTATAGATAGGATTTTCTATGTAGTGGGATGGGATTGGAATAATAACCATGTCATAAAATATTTGATCTCCAATCAAGAGCTAGGTTGACATAGATATGTACTATGTAACATTATGTAACCCTCTTTGCCACTTAAAAGCAAGTAGTATATAGAAAATTAAAAATTGGAAAAGATTTTTTTCCCCTTCCTTTTTGAAAGTCGTACATTGAGTCATGAGTTAGAGAATTGAGATTGACATCACAAGAATCGACCAGCTATCACTTTTGGACCGAAGAATATATAAGGGAAAAAAATATTTGGTATTATCATCAATATGGGAGAGTGCATCATATTGTGCTGTCCACAATTGTTCTTGTGAAGGAGGAAGATCAGGCCCACACTCATAATGGACCGTAAAATTTTGTTGTTGGAATTGACACTCCATTTTGATAACTCTGCCAGATTCCCATTGTGGGTTTTCGAAAATCACTCAAAGCTTCTGTTTTTCTCCTTTTTCTTTTCCAGGAATAAAAAATAAAAATAAAACCATAATTAAGGCATGAAGTTTTTTTACATTATTCTAGTCAAATAGCAGGTACACCATCAATTTTACCTTTCCCCCCTTAAAGAAGGGTTATAGTGTTTTCACACTTAGGAATTGTCCCCTCAATGTTCTTTCCACTATTAGCATGTCCAATCAATTCATAATTCAGTAGCTTAGTGGAGGATCAATGGAAAGATCAAAAGAATGCATCAAATGCAATATCACATCTACTCACCCATTCAAATCAGACTTGGATGGCAGGCATACTATTCCAAGTGCCTGTAGTCTAAAATGGTAACACCATGTTTCATGTTCCAATTCTATCTTAACAACATTATGGAACTAGACTCATAATTTTGATCTTGGTAATATTTGTTTTGTTTTTTTCTTGAGTTGGCACTAGTGAGGGGTGCCCTACACCACGGAATAGATAGTATGTCACAATTATGTTATATAGTAACATAGTAACTCAAGGACTAGTACACTTCATCTTGGAATTGTCTTCTAGCTACATTTCCAATTGCTATCACTTTTAATTACTCACCACCCATAATTGAGGTCTTGTCCATCATCTACCCACTTGCCACTTGAAGGTTCTAATGATATTGCACAACCTAAAATGTTAGTTTATTGTACTTGTGAGAAACCAAATAGGGCCAAAAGGACGACAGGTGTGAATTAATGTGTGTTGGGCCTCAATGACACTAGGATCCACTTGAATGGCAATAACAATCTGACCTATTTGATGAATCAATGTGCCTCTTTTAATAATATCTGACTCTTTTAGGCTTATAATGGAATAACAGATAATGACTGCACAGCTTAGACTTGTCCCCACCTTGTCATGACAGAATGTGTAATATGAGGTTAACACTCCCCCATGTGCTTATCATTCATTGATGTTATGATATCCCAGAAATTAATAATGATGACACACATTAAATTAAATGGAGATGCAGAAAATTGTTGGCCTCTCCTTCAGTAATAACTTATTGTCACAAACTGACAAGAACTATACTAAAGGCTAGAAAGCTCTTTATAATTCTACCGTCCAAAATATAGCATATATGTAGATAGATATCAATTGAAAAAGGAAAAATATCTTATTTGGAAAATTGTGGATGAGATGGAAATTCCCCCACTAAGTCTAAATCAAGATGATCCACCAACTTGAAAGAGTGCTAGCAAATATGATGTTACAGTATTATTGTGTATATCTGAACTAAAGTCTAAAGATAATACCGAATAATTACACACCTTAAAATGATGAGTGATGAGGAAAATGTGTAGTAAAATACAAAATTCGGTGTTCAATTAGTGATGCACAATGACAAATCACGGTGATGATGAAATAGACGTACCCTTGTTTGATAGCAGTGTGTTAACTTGAAAACGAAAACATGGATATGCATGTGAAGCAGAAAAGTGTGTGCCACAGACATATATTGCACACGTCAATGCAAACAGACAGGAGATAACGTCGAAATGAGTGTCTTTTAGTTACAGATCCTAGTGTTTTGCATGCTTTGAAACTTGAAAATGACTTGTATGTGAATAGGGCCACTTGAAAATTAATGCATTGTGTGTAATCCTAGAAAAGTGAATTTTGATAATTCAGTTTCATTCTTACTGTTTAATAGTACTGCATATTACTAATATTAACCAAAAAAATAAAATTGCTACTCAAGCGGTAGTAGCATTAGCAATTTAGCACAATCCTTATGACTATGCCTTGTCTATGAATTATGGAGTCTAGAATTTTATAAGATAGTGTGACGCTGAGTGATACTAGTAAAAGCAAAAATTCTATTCCCATTGAAAAATCTAGGGCTAATATTAATGACATTAGTTTTGAAGAATTAAAGATCCTAAACTAGTAACAGTTGATAAGATTTTGATTGAACAACATTAATATTGGGGGGCCACTGATGTGCATGCAGGAAAAGTCAGGGAGGGAAAGAAAAGAACCATTTGGATTTGTTATTGGAAAATCAAGGAGTGAAGTGGAAGCTTGTTTTTGTCTTAATAACTAGACTGAAAGCACTCTGCACGTGTAGTACCTGGCCTTTTCATTATAGGTTCTTGCTGCTGCTAGCTGTATCCATTTTTCACCACTCAATCACACATTTTAATGTCTATTTTGTTCTTAAAGCTTTCAAGAATTAATAGTCAATATAATTTTTAGTTAGGACAGAACACATTTTACAAAATTGAAATTATCATGTGAGAGCTAGGACCCTGAAATAGATATTTCAACAGTCAAAGTAGTTCACAAGTTAATGGCACCAAATAAATTGATTTGAAAGTCACTGGAATTAGGTATATGAGCTTATGCTTAAGAGAGGATTCCTACAACTCACGATTCACGTGGGTTTAGACTAGTAACATTGGTTAAATGAGTTTTTCTTTTTCAATTATATATTTTGGTGTATAGTAAAATGATCTTATGGGACAAATCATATTACCCCACTAGATTTGCTGTCTAGGATGAGATAGGTATCTATGTATGTGACAATTTGATGAGGTCCACTTTGGAAAGAAAGGATTACTAGGTGATGCTGTAGAAGTAAACAAAATGTATTTATTAGTGGGGTACAAATTAGACACATCGGAATTCAGAACCTAACTGATAACTTAGGCAAGTATATTACCTCAATTGATGCTTTTAATTTCCAAATGCTTTTGCTCCACTGAATCGTAGGTCATTTCATATGCTGCATTGGGTGTATGAATCATTAGGTGAAATGAAAAGGGTGCAAATAATTAAATAAATAATATAATCACAACATGGACAATTGATGCAGATATTAAAATATATAGCATATTCTGAAAAATTGATAGAAGGAAGGAATAAAGAAGCTCCTTTATTCTGTGAAGAGTATCATATCACATCAGGATACAAATTGGAAGAAATTGAATGACCACAAATCCACCAAAGCATAGAGAACATGCAGGAGTCCCTAGTTTAGAGACAATTCATAAAACTGGATTCTCTTGCAATATTATCAGTGTGGCGTAGATAATATTCCTAATGGAGCCTCATAATAATATTTCAAGAGGACTTGATTATGTGTTTGAAAAATTGATTTCGAATGAAATTGTTTCTAGTTTATTTGGAGACACTGTTTGCAAAACTTGGTATAAACTTTTTTATCCACAAAAAATTATTTTGCGTTAGTCCATTCATGAAATAGACAAGTAACTATTAGTTACTTTTGATGTGTTATGACGTAAAAATTTGAGAAAAGTGGGTCACTAAAGGAGTACTAAACCCGCACTTAAATTTCTTTACCTTAAAATCAATTCTAGATTCAGAATGTGAACATTTATCTAAAATCATGTTAACCGGTATTTCAACGTATTTCTGGATCATTTAATGTGAATCCAAACACGTTAGTTGATGTTGCTCCTTTATGCACTAGTCTCTTTTCCAAATTCATGCAAAGCAAAAGAAAAGGAACCAAAAAGAAAAGAACAAAGTGCCTTCATTTGATTTTTAGTCGTCACGTGCTAATGGCCGTCTTTCTTAAAAGTGTGTTACAAAAGTGTCTAATTAGTCTCGAAGATGCTGAAACCACACTTGTTGAAGTTATGGTATAGGGTTCTCGTAACTATATTTAGTTATGCAACTTGCAAGAGATTAGTAGTTGAAGTGGGGTTGATTTCTTGGAATACTTTTCATTCAATCAGATTTTAATAGATCCTGGTCATAATGCAAGACCTGAACTTACTCAGAAGACCACTTCAATGCTTGGCTTGTGAGCAAAATCATTCATATGTATCATACCTTAACAGTTGCTTTTAATCTTTTATCCGTGAAATGGTTAGGCCAACCTGCCATTTGCCCACTTTTTTTTTTTTTTTTTTTTGTGTGTGTGTGTGTGTAAGTTAAGGATGAATATCATTATTGAACCCTTGTGTGAAAATCCCAACTTTAGATTCATTGAATGGACTCGTTTATTCATTCATTCCATTATTTAGGAAGAATGCCTTTTTTTTTTTTTGTACATTGATATTCTTTTTGGTACATGGGAAATAATGCCTTTAACAAAGAGTTGATAATTTAGAGGGACCATTATTCAGCTCAAACATTTTAAAAAGTAATGCTCAAAGTTCATAACTCATAACACAATTATAAAGAAACCTTAATATACTAATATAATTACTATTCACGACAACTAAATTTAAAGCTTGGATATTGAGATCTTAAACATAATAAAATTCAGCTGTGTAATTAAAAATTTCTTGAAAACTTTTAAGGGCGTGTTGTAGATGAAAGTCATTACAGTTTTACATCATAACCTCTTAGATACAATGTTTACCTCTTGTCATGTAAACCAGAGACATAGGTTCAAGACTATGAAACAATACCAATCTTCTGATTATGGCTAAGACAAGTACATTGAATAGGGTTGGCCATGGTCATGGATTCTCCACTTGAATTAATAGGGTGAGGAACTAAAGGAAACTACTATGATAAAAAAATCTTATGGTTGACCAAGCCAGCAGACCAAGAAAAATCCTCGAAAATGAGAGAAAATTGTGCAATAATGTCTGCCAATAAGCAAGAAAAAATGGCTGAGGAAAAGATGTGACCATGAAGTGTCCAAAGTAAGAGCTCTACAGCATGTTCAAGCCACACCATTTGGACCGATAAAAACAGACACCATTAATCATGATGCTTTTACATTGTCCATCATCCATAGAATACATTACTATAATTCTCTCTATCTTCCCCGCCTTCAAATCACATAAAAAAGGTAAGCAATTTTTCATTGGGAAGAGTTCAATCCAAAGCACTAGTGCTTGTAAACAGTTCTTTCAAATATTCCACAGATGTTGAAAACATGCTTTCCAACCACTAGCCACAAAACATGACCATTGCATGTGTACACAGATGTGTAAAGAGATAGTGCGATTTTCTGTTAGATCAAAAGTAGCTTCAGAATGTGCATAAACAGTAGCATCCATACATTTTAAATCATAACATAAAGTTGCAACTTGAAAATCTTGTTTTGTTAGACGAGCTGTTGTAAAGGTAACATGCTCCTGTCAAAATGGCCTCAATGGCTGGCCCATGGACTACAAATAATCAAATCATACGAAGGGTTGGCAACTTGGAATTGGTGATTACAAAGATGTGGTCTATTTTATTTATTTACTTTTGATGATTTGTTTCATTTTTTTTGTTATATATTCAGGTTCCAACTTTGAGCCAGCTGGCCCAACACCTAAGAAAATTAATCCCCTTAAATGTATCAAATTAGAATTATTTTAGTTCAAGAACATGGTGCACACAGTATCTCAAAATTAATAACCAATGATTAATCTACATTTGCAAATCGTGACTTCTAATGACCAAACCAAACATTTTAATGTTGTGGGAATCGATCTTTGAAACACCAGGTCGATCTTCCTTGTTTCAGGGCAGCTCTTCATAATCTTTTACTTTCTTTAGAAAACTGTAATTATGGTTTGTTAATTCAATCACAAGATACCGACCCTTCAAGTTGCAACTATTAATTGGTTAGGGTAAGACATGGCAGCAACTTTTAAGTAAAATATGCTGATTATCTATTATCTAATGACTCAAAAACATAATGAAATAAAAAAAATATATTTGAGATTTCAATTGTTTTTAATAAAGAATGGTTCCTACATTCTTACCATACATGTTTACATATGTACTTTGGCTTTGAGTTCCCTTCTCAAAGCAATGATTCTGATAAACTTTGATGCTCCAAGTACAATTGCAAACACAGAGGTTCACTACTCATTGACTTGATAGGGGTGATAAGTGGAGGCTGCTGCCACTGTTTTGTGTCAGTTGGGATCCACAAGTCTGCTTCCTTGCTTGTACCAGTTTCTGGAAGGGATCGAAAGTAAGCAGTTATCTCCCACCTGCTATCTTTTTGAAGAAGAAAGAAAAAGTTTAAACATAGGTTTCAGCCTATACATATAAAGAACAAAATTCAGCACGACGTTTATAATTGTGTTTGGGAATACGTTTTGAACGTATGAGTTCTTTAATTTTTCACGTCAATTTATAAGATTGATACAGAAGTTGAAGATATTTGCTTCTAAAAATTCAAGTCATCCTCATGTTTAAAATGGTTTCAAAACATGCTGCAAATGTATCAAAGAAGTTACAATTCACCTCCACTTGATTGAAAACTAGCCATCTACATGATTACAAACTGAAATTGATGATAAGATATTGGTATGCCAGTGAGCAGATGATTTTGTGGATGTGCCCACAGACATGACACTTGTTCATACGCACAACAGAGAAAGGATAGTTGCAAATTTACAATTAAAAAGTACAGCATGCAGTATTAAAAAAAAAAAAAAAAGCTAAATTGTATTTCTGGGCCCTCTATTATAATTAATGTGCAATTTTGGTTCTTGATAATAATGATATTCCGCACTCTTTTAGTTAAAAAATAAAATAAAATCAAGTCCCTTTGTTACTCTGGTATCCAATTACTACAAAAGTTATTGACATGGCCAGCAATTTATATATGTGGATGACATTTTAGTGAGTTGGCATTCAAATGGACAACTGATAACTTCAATCTATTTAATTTTCTCAATACGTTGATATAAATAGATTAAATGTAAAATGGTGTATTTAAGTAGATTAAAGTCATCAGTAGGTACATTAATGTGCCATGCTCTGTAGTGTGTTTTGTTACAAAACTAAATAAATTGGCCATGAGACCAACTTACGTTATTAATTAGAATAGAGATACACTGAAACAGAGAGCTGCTATTTTTAATTAGGAAAAATAGGGGATTTGATTGCTATAAAAATTATGGGTAGACAAAAAGCACACGATATTCATAAATTCATAATAGAGAGATCAAAAGTGTTATTAAGCCAAAGGAAAACACGATAAAAAGAGAAACAGAAATCTTCGCAGCAAACATGATTATTCTTGCATTTACCAGGAGGAATCCCTTTAGAAAGAGATTCTGAGTTTGACAGTTTGATCAGAAATGATCTGAGAGAGAGCTCAAGATCAACCTCTTCCACTTCTGAACCATAAGATTGGTTCACTGTAAGCTTGAATACGAATTTTTCCAATGGAACATTGTCAGCATTGAAGAAAATAACTGCTACTCTTTCCACCATTCCCTAGTAAATGGAAGATAAGGAATAAAAATCAGCATGTTGAAAGAAAGCAGTTGCAAGGAAAGTTGGATTCGACAGGATAGTGTTTTTGTATAGGATTGTGGACCTTTAGTCAACCATTGACTTATTTAAAATTTTAAATCTCCTGCAAAAGAATTAGTCTACCCCACATATCTCTAGCAGAAAAATCACAAGTAATTATTTAGTGAATCAAGTTGAACACAAAGAGTGTTCAAGAGATTCTTTTTTTATTTGGTACAAAGTGTTTGAGTGATATTGTCAAAGGCGTGGCAAAATGAGTTCAACCCAATGGATTGATCTGCATAACCCGTTCGAACAGGTTCGATTGGGTTGCACTTTTCAATCCTTCAACCCACGTTATCCAACATGCATAACTTGTCAATCCAACGGATTAAATGAATAAATGATAAGTTCCATTGAGTTGGCCCGTCTAATTGACCCAGTGGATTGGCCTATGTTTCTCCTTGACTTTTACCTATTGATATTAACTATGGTATTTTATTTGTAGTTATTTGCTTATTCAGACTTATTTGTGATTATATTGTGCACATATTTTATTATTGTTGATGGACTTATTTCTGTTTGTATTATGGACATATTTTAATGTTGTTGATGGCCTTATTTTATTGTTATTAATAAAGTTATAAAGTACATGTCTCATTGAGGATTTGAACCTTTTGATTCATTACTAGTTTTATAACACCTTTTTTTTTTTTTTTTTTTTTTTTAATTATATTTGGTCATAAAATTTGAAGAAAATTTAAGACATAGAATAAAAATAGTTTAAATTTTTTTAATAGGTTGGTGAGTCAAGTCCAAGTCGGTGGCTAAGGTAAGGCCAATGAGGCCATTGCCTTAGGTCCACAGCTCCAAGTTCACAAACACACACACATATATATATATATATATATATATATTAATTTTAATTAAAATAATTAAGTAATATATTTTATTATTTTATTATAATTAATTTGTTAACACATAAAATCATACAATTATTTAAAATTTATATATACACACATAAATATTATCATAAAATTATTCATTTGAAGAATTTTATTATATTTTAAAAGTTATTTTACATTTATTTTGAATTTCAATGAAAAAAAATGGTATCGAAATGAATATAAAGATTAATTCCTATAAAAATAATACGATTTGTATATAAAAAAATTAACAAAAATGATAGTGATAAGATTGTAAAAACATCATGTTAATTTGGTTCTTCTAAAAATATATTTTATAGTTTTAATTATTTTGTATAAATATTGTTATTTTATCCACACCATATTAGAAAAGATTTTAAAATATGAAATCACTTTAAGAAAATTATTTAAATTTTAATAAGATTTTGAAAAAAGTATTGTCTTAATTTTATATTATTGATCATGACACTAGAAGTATTAAATATATTAAAAAATTAATTTCTTAAATGTGTACAATGTATGTTTATATAATACATTGCAAAATAGTGATTGAATGAGTTATCATTGGGTGAAATGTTGAAACTTATTAATTATTAAATTTAATTAACAATTTTACTAATAAAGATAAAAATAAAAATTATTTAATTAAATGAGAGTAAAACTTAAATAAAAAATTTGCCTTAGGTCTAAAATTTGTAAGACATGGCCCTAGAGTCAACCCAACTCAACCTACAACCCACCACGAGTTAGGTTGGGTTAAGATTTTTAATCCAATGAAAAAATAAGTCCTACCCAATCCATTTTTCAACATGTTGGCTTGAGTTAGCCCGTTTGAGACCCTTAGAGGCTTAGAGCTACATATTTGATGTCATATATATTGTTACAACTTAAATACAATCAACTAATGGTGTAAAACTAGTTAGGTGATAATTAGAAGCTAAATTACCACCTAATCACTAGCTAATCAACAAAATTACATCTAGCCAAGTGCTAATAATCTAAACAAAAATGCTTATACTTTAACAAAACCTTTCACTCTGCCTAAATTTTAAAGAAATAAAAAAGTGGCTGCATATCTCCTACACAGTCTTATAGAAGATGACATGAAACACAGTTCTCACTCCTCAACAACGAAGACAAAATTAACATAAGAAATCTAACATATCAAACCTAAAATTGATTCTTATATAAATAAGCATTACAAGTAAAAAAAAGCATAGATTCCAAGGTGTTAAATTAAGTGATTGTTGTAGGTTTGTAACACACATTGACACAGAATCATAACAAATACTTTCTATAACATTGTTACTACATGATGCACTAATGCTAAAATGGTCACCAGCTCATTGGGACTTTGAAGATAGGCAAGTGGGGGTGAGAGAAACTCGAAGGCTGAACCTCTAGATAACTCAGAAGCAATTAACTTCTATTTTGTAGCTCCTAAACCACTAACTCTATCAATGGATTTTATTTTTTTACCACAAATAAACAATATTACATTGCCATCTCTAAACAACATGCACAAGATACACTCATATATCTTATTTCCTGTTCATACATGACACTGATAGCAACCAATATTTGATTATTCAAATCCAAAGCAAGCAAGCAAACAATCAACAACTACTCATACAAGGTTGAATACACAAAAAAAAAAAAAAACCAAATTTCCAAAGAAAACCAACCTTTTCTATAAAGGGTAGAAGCCCTGAAACAGTAGCATGTATGTAATATCTAAGCTGAGGATGACGAGCCCTTTGAACCACCACATTCATATACCTTCTCCGCTCAAAGGCACCTTTTCCACACCCACAAAGAAAACTAATAAAAATTAGTTCCAATCAATTCAGTTGCCGATAACTACAAAATCAAAGAAAAAAAAAAATAAAAGAGCATTGTACAGTCAAAATCATCGTTTTTCTTTTTGCCTCAAACCCAAATAAAAAAAAAAAAAAGTTGTTACCAACCAACCAGAAGGATAAACCCCTTTGAGAAAAACGACATCAGTAATAGCCACCTCCAAAAATTCAACCAAAACCCTAGCTATTTGGCCTGAAAATTTCCAAACAGAATCATAGTAACTCCAAACTACGTACACACAACGAATAAAATTAAAAACTTTTATTTGATAGAAATTTCAAACCTTGTGGAGTTTGATTCTGTCTTCGCTCCATCACATTTATTTTTTCCAAGTTCAAAATCAAAACCAGTTCTACAATGCACTTGAGTTGAAGGAAACAAAACAACCCCTTTTTTGCAATAGCCCTTGAAACTGAACAAAATTACAAATTTGCCACCAACTTGACCCGAATTCAGTTTTTAACTCTCCATAGCTTCATGGGTCAAGTTTTATGACCCGAAATCTGTTTCGGGCTTTGTTCTTCTTTCTTTCTTCTACTCTACGATTCTCCTTGACTCTGCGTCACTTCTTCAGACTGCGAGATTTTGATTTTCCATTGACACGAGAAATGGCAGGTGAGGCTTTGATCGTCTCTCTCTTTCTGCGCTTTCCTAGAGAATTGAATTTTCAATTAGGGTTTTTGCTGATTTTTTCGTTGGCTTTTGAATTTGGGTCCGGAATTTGAAAATGGAAGGGAAAAGCAGTGGAAAGAAGGGAGGGAGAAGAGGGAGAGCGTGTGTGGTGGTTTTGGGCGACATTGGACGTAGTCCTCGAATGCAGTACCACGCTGTTTCACTCGCCAATCAGGTTCTTTCTTTTTCTTTTTTTTGTGTAATTTCGTGTAGTAATTTAATTTAGTTTAGTCTAATTTGATTTGATTATCCATTTTTCTATTTTTTTTAATTTTTTTTTTGTTTTGATACGGGAATTCATGTGAATATTTTGAGAAAGTTGTAAGTTTGGCTTTTGAATGATTCTTCTGTTTCAAGTTTTAATTTGAGAGGAAGTTGTGAATGAAGTTGATTTTTATGTTTTAGGAATAGGACCATACTAGAATTTTGATGGTTGAGTTTTGCATTGGGTGTAATAGATGTTCCTTCCTTTTTAGAATGATTGTTAATTTGTAATATAGACTGTTCAGCAGTTCAGGTTAATTGTTCAAAGATTTTACATGCATGTTTGGAAACTCATTCGAAAGCAAAGAATCACATCAATATAGTCCAAAAACTTGGAAGCTAAAACTGTGGAGAATCACATTGGCAATGTGCAATCAAACACACTAGTTATCAATTGAGAGGTCCTGACCTGGTAGCTGTTGCTGTTAGATGTTTCTGAGACCCAGTTAATGCTCATAAATTCACTTTTTCTCTCTCTTTAATTTAATGTTTGGGAAGCGCAAGATGTTGTTGCCTATGGTCTTACTGATTAATTTAACCATAGTGGTAACTGGTCATTTGTTTTCAGAAACCTAGCCGGTTTAGCAGTGCAATATTGATGTTAAATCTACATATAATATTGTTTGGAATTTTCTCAACTGGGCATAAATGACCTTTCTTTCACGTGTAAGCATGCATGAGCATTAGGTATTTCCTTGCAATGTTAAAACATTTTTTTATTGCACTGTCCATTGATCTGCTGCCTTTTCTATCTGGCATTGCAGGCTTCCCTGGAGGTTGACATTGTTGCATATGGAGGTACCTTTTTTCTGATTTTGAGTTGTTTATAATGGATCATTAGAGTTAGGTTTTATTGGTACAGTAATTCATGGGAGTAAGGTGTACTAAATTTCTGCTGCAACCTGAGTAAATTTTCTTGTTTAATAACAATTTTTAACAGGTTCAGAGCCCCATACTGCACTTCTTGCCAACCCATCTATTCATATTCACTTAATGGTATCAATTTTGACTAATACTGAGCTTTTCTAAACAAGTTATCCTCATATTTTACTAAAATTGATGTAGAGTTGGAACATTCTGAAATTTTCAGCAGCAGTGGTTATCAAGCAGTCAAAGCTTACCGAAGATACTTCGACCCATAATGCTTTTGTTGAAGCCATTGGTTCAATTTTTGATGCTTCTTTGGTTCCTTTGTGTAAAAATACCATCGCCTGATATTTTTCTTGTCCAGGTTAGCCTTTAAGTTCTCTTCCTATTTCTCCCTCAGCATTTAAGCTTCTTTTTTTGGTTTACATGATAGATTCAAGGCTCCTTGTTTTTGCTAAGTTAGACATAATGTTGGAAAACTTGTACCTGAAAATTTGATGGTTGTTTTGGACCTTGGTCTTTGAGAAGCATCCCTATAGCCAAATAAATAATAAAACTTTCTTTGCCAAGTAGTTTGTGTTAGGTCAGTTTGGGCTACTAGAGAAAATCTGTAGTCCCTAACTTCAGTATCTTTCGTAGATGATGTTAGAAACTCTAAACTTTGAAGCACAATTAATTAGCTGATTTTTGGTTATGTTAACTGTGTAATGATTCATTGATAAACAAAACAAAATGACCAGAGATGGCAGCAAGTTTGATTTTAAGATTTTTGTTTCTTATCTCACTCCTTGTCTGTGCAGAATCCTCCTTCAGTTCCGACCTTGGTGGCAGTAAAATGGGCTAGTTGGTTGAGAAATTCATCTTTTATTATAGATTGGCATAATTTTGGGTATACTCTACTTGCACTGTCATTGGGAAGAAATAGTCATTTTGTCTCCTTATATAAATGGTACTAGTTTACATTTTTTAAATTTTAGATGAGGAATTTTCTTTTTGGTCTATGGCTTTGCTTTTTCAAGGTTGTTGCTAATGGGATTACTTTTCTTGGGTTCACCTAGGTTTGAGCAGCATTATGGAAAAATGGCAGATGCTTCTCTCTGTGTAACAAAAGCAATGCAGCATGAATTGGCTCAAAACTGGGGAATTAAGTAAGAGAGTCAACTCAAAGTTAAAATATATTCTTTAACATAAAATTGTTTGTGTGGTCTGTGAAGCAATTTGATGTTTATTTCTTAATTCTTTATTTTATAGTGCTACAGTTTTATATGATCAGCCTCCTGATATCTTTCATCCAGCTTCACTGGAGGAGAGGCATGAGGTGATCTAGTTGTTTATTTCTTGAGTCACTCTGGTTATTATTACTTATCAAGCATTCTTAGAGATTTTCAAATATAATATATAGATAGTTTACAGTTGTTTTGCAGATTAAATGAGGATATTTTTCAGCCACTTGGTGTCAGAGATTGTGTTAGTAATGGTAAGACAGACTTTACAATCTAGATATATATTGATCTTAGTTGTTGGCAGATTTTTTTTTTAATGTGCTTGCTTCTTACAGGAACTTCATTGATTGCTAGTCATCGCCAAAATGAGTCTCTGTTTACAACTGAGGTTGGTTCAAACATATATTTGAATCCAAATCGACCAGCACTTGTTGTAAGCAGTACAAGCTGGTAAGTTTATCCTATTATGATCTTTTTGTTTTTTCTTTATTGTAAAAATTGGTACAGTACGGTGTTTTATCCTTTTGAAAAGGGCCAGTTCCTTTTTTCATGCATATTATGTAGTTAGATATGGACCTTCAGTGAGCAAACAAAACTTAGCCATAGACAATGTATGTTGACTGGGATAGTCGTGACTTATATTGGTGGGCTACTTCCAAACCTGAGGGGTTTATTTATATGATTTGTGCCACTTTCAGGACTCCCGATGAAGACTTTGGCATTCTCTTGGAAGCTGCTGTAATGTATGATAGACGTGTTGCTGCCATATTAGGTGAAGATGATTCGCTAGATGAGGAGGTCATATGGAAGGGAATATCTGATGGAAAACAATGTTTATATCCCAGATTGTTATTCATCATAACTGGTATAATTTTTTGTTTTTTTCTTCTGATATATTGGAAATCATATGGAACTTTCTAATGAGGGATCTTCGTTGGTAAAGGCAAAGGTCCAGAAAAAGAGAAGTACGAGTCAAAAATAAAGAGATTGAAACTTAAACGTGTGACATTTCGTACCATGTGGCTGTCTGCTGATGATTATCCATTACTGCTAGGTATTTTGTTTGTTCCTTGTTTTCAAAATGATCTTGCATTGTGCATAATTTCTTGATTTAACAGTTTTGGATAATTTCAGGATCAGCTGATCTAGGTGTTTGTCTGCATACTTCGTCATCAGGATTAGACCTTCCAATGAAGGTATCAATGACAATTATTATATGTCAGTGTACAAACTAAGATGCACTCTTAGCAATGTCTTTTCATGGTTATATTGATAAACTCCCTGCGAATAATCTATGGTTTTGTATCATTTAAGCCACATTGCACTCATAAATATTAGACTTAATTATGTGTTTAGTCCTTCAAATATAAGGTAAATTTGTTTTTAGTTCCTCAACTTTAAAACAGATTTTTAGTCTCTGTAATTTAAAAAAATCTTATTTTAGTCCTTACACTCAATTTTTTAAGGGAATCAGTCAAATATTGTCGTACAAAATCTACCTACTAGTGTCTTTATTAATGAAAACAACATTAAATCTCGTTGATGTTGCATAATTGTTTCAATTTGTTACTTTCATGTGTTATTGATAACTTGAGGGACTAAAATAAGATTTTTAAAAATTATCGGAACTAAAAAAAATAGTTTTAAATTTGAGGGACTAAAAGCAAATTTATCCTATATTTAAAGGACTAAAAAATGTTTAAGCCTAAATATTATGTTGATTAAGTGTTTTTCCCATAATTTTTTTAAAACCATCTAATTACGCTTTTATCTAACTCAAATGATGTGCTTCATTAGATTATATCTCCATCTATTCAAGCTAATATTAGTTCTATGCCATATAAATCATCAGAGAATAGAGAATGTTTTATAGTTTTTTGTATGCATATTCGGCTAATTTAATTCATTTTTGTTGAATGGGTTAAAGCTGCTCGTATTTCTTGAAGTGTTTGAGCTTTCCTTTTTCTGTTAATTATTTTGCACATGGAACAGGATAGATTCAAATTAGATTTTGGTTTGAGTCTTTCATGGCTCTTTATGTACGATATTAAATACTATATATTCCTCTTTATTTCATTTTGAAAGTGATTCAAAAAAACAACTATTGAATCTTACTAATTTTCAGTTTTTTATTTTTTATTTTATGCTTTAACTGTACCAGGTTGTGGATATGTTTGGCTGTGGACTACCTGTTTGTGCTGTTTCATACTCTTGGTAAGCTATGTATTTCCTTGTAAAATTATTTGTTCTGAAGTCCAAAAATTTTTGTTCTTTACATTTATGGGTCAAAGTTTTTACCTTCTTGAAGCATTAAAGAACTGGTTAGAGTTGACAAAAATGGTCTTCTCTTCTCTTCTTCATCAGAGCTAGCTGACGAACTTCTGGTAAGTCTGTTAATGATTGCAACCTTCAACTCCCTCTGAATGTGGATTACATTTTTAGATTTATGTCTGTTATAATGTAGAGTGTAGACAATCTTAATGTCTGATCTTGACCAATGAGCTTACTAATTTGCTGCCCTGAATCTACCCAGCTTCTCTTCAAGGGATTTCCTGATGACTGTGATGCTTTGAAGGTCCTCAAATATGGTGCATTAGAAACTGGTTCTTCAGCAAGGTGGGCTACTGAATGGGAAGAACATGCCAAGCCACTGATAACTGAGGCAAGTTCATTCTGTTATGCTATGCACCATTTTATTATCAGGTCATCTACTTTCATTTTCATTGACTGTTGGTGTCTTATGTGATCAGTTTCTGGTTTTTAGGAAAATTCTGTTTTCCATGTACAGCTAGTAGTTGATATTCGTTCATTCCATTATTTAGGGATTTTAAATCTGTAACTGTTCAGTTATCTTTTTTAAATAGCGTATTATCTCCTAATTTTTAGGCCTGGATTAGTGTACAACTGTTTTCCTAGTTTCCTATTATACTACTCACTAACTGTAATCAATTTGGGAAAAAATACAATATTTTTCTACATTGGCCAGTTGATATGTGATTAACAATTGATCCTATTCCCACCTTTGTTTTGTATGCTGCTTTGTCTTAGATTAGTAGTCTTTGTGAACTTAAAAGAGGTGCATATGGGTTTGCAGGTTATATCAAGATTTTGACACTGTTGGTTCTTAGAAGGCATCTTTAACTGCTCTAACAGCAAATTGGATCGATCTGTTGGCCTTATCCAGTGGAGAGTTGACTAGTACCATGTGCTGATTGCATGCATATTTGAAGTTTTGACAATTTCCAAGTCAGAGTTACCTTGTACAGAATAGGTATGCGGCAGGGTTTCCAACATCTGTCGTCTTGTGTATGAAGTTGCAAATAGATATTCTCTGTAAAAATTGGCTTTATGTGATTTAGAATTTCATTTTCTTTGACATGGCTTGATTCTTGGTCCATGTTTCAACGAGAGTGAGGTTATTATTATGCTAAACCGTCTAGATAAGATTTTTCTGGTAAACTTAAGTGATAATGTGCTTGTTATACAAGCTTAAAACAACTCACCCAAAATCTAATTAACAAAGGGGAAGCTAAGATGCAAAAACTGAAATTTAAGTTGTACAATATTAATAAATAAACAAAAAAGAGAAGAAAGAAAATTGCCATGTAACATTACAATTGAGAAACTACGATTAATATCATCTAACATTAAGATTGAGTAACATGAACAAAATCTAGGAAAAAAAAAAAGTTATACTATATTTGTTTCAAAGATAACTTATTGACACATCAAAGTCTGTCCTCGAACTCAGACAGGGGCATCATTTGTTCTTTCAAGCCTTTTTTCCTTCTTATCTCAGCCACACGTGCAGCAGCAGGAGTGCCAGGTTCTAGTGGATCCGATGGCACCATATCCCAGTGGTCAAATACTAACTGTGGGAAAGCTTGACCTCCAGTTTGAGCCCTTAGTGATTCATTGAATCTAAATGACTCAATAACAGGCAAATATGCTTTTATATTGTAAAGTGGGGTGCCAGGCCTCTGGATTTCCTCAAACACATGCCCTCTTTTCTGGTTAACAACACTGTATATATCGCCAAGAGCCTGTTCCGGTGCTTGAATTTCCACAAGATACACAGGTTCAAGAAGCCTTGGTTTTGCTGTCAGCATGGCTGCACAGAAGACCCTTCTAGCAGTTGGAATGATCTGGCCACCTCCTCGGTGAATGGCATCAGCATGAAGAACAACATCACAAATTTCAAAGCAGACCCCTCGCATGTTCTCCTCAGCCATTGGACCTGATTTTGATGCTGTCTCAAACCCAGCAACAACCGAGTCTTTGATTTCATTGAGGTACTGTACACCCTTGCAAGTATCTATCACCATGTTGGGTCCTTTACCCTCAGGGCCAAAACACCATATTTTCCTTGCCAGATCCTTGTCCCAACCAAACTCTTCAGACAATATTTTAGACCGATTTCTGGGGTCAACCCCTGGTCCAATCTTTTCATCATCAATTGCCTCTGCAAGTCCATCCTCCATTGGCCTTGCTTCCACGTACAGACGGTTGTGTTTGTTAGGTGACTTGCTCATCACTGTACGGCAAGACCTCTCAAACACAGTCTCGCGGAAGGAGACAATTGGATCAGATATTGAAATCTCTGCACCATTCATAAAATCATCCTTCAAGTCCTTCAAGCAGATTTCAAGATGGAGCTCACCAGCAGCAGATATTATATGCTCTCCTGTCTCTGACATTGTGCAGACCACCATAGGGTCTGACTTTGCTAAACGCTTTAGGCCTTCAATAAGCTTAGGAAGATCTGATGTAACCTTGCTTGTAACAGCAACACTTACCACCGGTGACACAGAAAACTTCATAGCACGAATTGGGTGTGCATCAACTTCCTTCTCGTTTGTTAATGTAGCATTCTTGGTGATGAAGTGGTCCAAACCCACCATAGCTACTGTGTTGCCACAAGGCACATCCTCAACTGTTTCCTGTTTCTTTCCCATCCAAATTACAGTTCGCTGAACACTTTTAACATACAAGTCTTTTTGCTTCCCTGGAACATAGTTTGGTCCCATGATTCTGACCTTCAAACCGGTTGAAACCTTACCAGAGAAGACTCGGCCAAAAGCATAAAACCTACCCCTATCAGATGCAGGAATCATCTTTGAGACATAGAGCATTAAAGGTCCATCAGGGTCACAATTTCTGATAGCATGAGCATAAGGATCATCCAGGGGACCCTCATACAAGTTATCAACACGATATTTTTGAGCACTGGCAGGAGAAGGAAGGTGAAATATCATCATCTCCAGAAGGGCCCTATTTGCTGGGAGCCAGCTCTGCATAACACGCTTCATCAAAGCCTTTCCTGTTAACTCCTTTTCCTCTGACTTCAATTTCAACCCAAGCTGTTGCAACTTTGGCCACAGCTTATCCTTCTGATCATTCATGCAAAGTTGAATAATCTGTTTGATTGGTTCATAACAGAACATAACAAAGCCACGCTTGCAAGTAGAAGTCCCGGTGTGCTTCTTGGTCCACTTTTTGGTGGCAGAGTCAAAGAAATTCTCACCCCAAAGCCTACTCATCATCTTTGCCTCATCAACTCCAAACTTAGAAGCATACACCTTGGCGAAGTTGGTAATGGTAAAACCCCATCCATGCAAACCAGCAGAAAAGGCAACTGTTCCCTTCTCAGGGTATACCTGAACATCACCAAGTAGAGCATCTTCATAGGTTGCCATGATGACATTTGCACTCTCAACAACCCTCTGAAATGTAAGGTAGGCCTCCTCTGCATCAAGGTTGAGCTCAAGGAAGCACCTATCCATCTTGTTAACAGCTAAAACAGGCTTAACCCTTTCTCCAAGGGCTTGTCTCAGCACAGTTTCTGTCTGGACACACACACCCTCAACACAATCCACCACCACAAGTGCCCCATCAGTGATGCGAAGCGCGGCAGTGACCTCAGATGAGAAATCCACATGCCCAGGTGAGTCAATGAGATTTATAAGGAACTCATTCCCTTCACGCTCTCCCTTGAAATTCTTCAAATCACCCTCTGTCATCTCATAGTAGAGAGAGATGCCAGTGGACTTGATAGTGATACCACGCTCAGCTTCATCTTGACGGGTATCTGTCATCCTAACATCTCCTGCAACCTCTTGTGCTATGATACCAGCAGCAGCCACCAGAGAATCAGTGAGTGTGGATTTTCCTGCATTCCAAACACTGCAGTGTCTTCAAAGTAACCAAAACAATGATATAATACAAAGGCTAAATAACAAAAGGTATCGCTAAACAACATTGAACCTGTTTGGATACAAGTTTAGGAATATTTTTGAGAATTTCTCTACTAGAAAATACTCTTTATTTTCGATAGAGAAGTTCTCAAAAGTACTTTTAGCTTGTATCCAATCAGGCTCATTTTCAACAATCAAAACCCAGGAAGAAAGACTTCATATAAAATGCAAAAAAAACGTAGAATAACAAACATACCATGATCAACATGAGCAATAACAGACATATTCCTTATATTGTGTTTGCGATCCATAATCCGCCGAAGTTCATCAACTGTGAAGTTCACCTGTTCATGATAGACCACTTAATCTTGAGCATTCCCTTCCCTTAAAGGAGAAAAAAATAAAATTCAAAGGAAAAAAGAAAAGCAATGTCAACTCACCATCTTCACCGGTCTTTAGTTCCTCCTTCAAACACTAGCCGACTGTAAAAACAAAATTAAGCAAAATCAAAACTTGATATTCCTTCACTCATGAAAATCTCATAGAGAAGAAGCTACCTTGCTGGGTGAGAGAAAGAGGCAGAAAACAATGAAAAGAATATCACATAGGACTGAACAGTGTGCAGCACGCAAAGGGTTTGAAAGAGAGGTGGTAGTAGTTTCAGTTTGCGTCATAGACCAGACCAGCAGTTAACTTTTATAGGACTGTGATCAACTGCATTCTTGACATGGACCAAAGAAAAACAAAATAGAGCAAACTCAGTTCAATTCAAAGTTCGACTCGAATTCATCATGAATCTTTTTTAGTTCGAATTTGACTTGTCAAGCTTGCTAGCACCTTGGTTTAGTTCAATAGTTCATTAACTCGAATTACATGAATCAATAATTAATTTTATTTTAATCTTGTATATTTCAAAATTTTAATTTAATAATAAATTTTAAATAAATTAATTGTTTTATTTTCTTAAAAGATAAAATATAACTTATTCTATTAATTTTGCAAGGTTATAAAGTATAACTTCAAAAAAACATAATTACAATTAAAGTTTGTATAAATAAAAACTACTCCACCCTAAATAAAATAATAGAAAATATAATTCATAATCATGAAATTCTAAAATGTTTACTTCTTTTATTATTATTAGTTTATAACTAAATTTTGAGGTTCTTTTAAATTTTAATAAGTTGAAATTAAATAAAAAGTTAATTTTATAAATAATATATTTATATATTTAGTTGATTTATGAGTCAAATAAGTTGGACTATGCACAACTAAAGTTAAATTCATTTATTTATATTCAATCTTTAGTTTAAGTTCAATTCATTTTGTTCATAAACTAAATTCAATGAGTTATTTATTAAATCTAAGTCTTGGACTATTTTCGGGTAATGAATGAATGTTTAATTAAAGTTAATTATAAAAACATCATAATCCCATCATCTTTCTAACCGAAATGAAAAGCATAAATCGTCATGCATGACAGAAAAGTGTTTTAATTAATTAATTGCTGATGAAATTCTTAAACAAAATTATGACAGAACAGTATTTTAATTAATTAATTGCTGATGAAATCTTTGAACAAAATTGTGACTTGGTATGCTTAAGTAGATTGATCCATCCACGAAGTTTCTTGGAGTGGTGTGCAAGAAAATTGACTTTGTTCTTTTGCCTAAAAGAATTGAAAATTCTATAAAATCTTGTTCAAATATATTTGTAAACACCAATTTTTTTTAAATAAAAAAACTCAGAAAATGCCAAATAGATGAAGCCAAAGTCTTGGTACTAGTAAGAAAGTCTTGGTTTTGGGACCCCATGCGGTAAAACAATTCTTAGAATTTCAAACTTAGCAAGCTGGTAGCAAAAAAAAAGAGACAGATCAAAGGGAGCAGTTGGAGACTTCACGGAAGCTTTGAAAAAATTTTCGGTGCTTATAAACAATTGATAAAAGAGAGGAAAAAAATGAAAAAAAACAAAGGGCAGTTGCCAAAAGCGGGGGGCGGGAGAGCCATAAAAAGAGAACAAAATGTCTAAACAAAGAGGAAAAAAAAAAAGGGGGGAGGAAGGATTGAGAGGGGGACCGGCAGCAGGAGAAAGGAAAAAGACTGGAATCGGGGTAGAGACCATTAAGCAGGGAAGAAGAGACCCGTCTTTCGTGCGACGTGGTATGATTATCTAGCTTTCTCCTTCAACGTGCTTTCCACTGTTTGTGCGATTTTTAGGCTTCTTCTTTTTGTGAATCAAAAATTTAGTGAAACTGGGATGTACCATTTTCGTGCGCTTATTATTTGCTTGTTAGCGCATAGTAGTTCGTTTGGATTTTAAATTGAGTACTTTGGATTCTTTTTTATTTTTTTATTTTTTTTTATTTTTTTTTTATTTTGTTTTTTTTTGTTTTTTTCTTTTACCTTTTGAGTAGACTATGATTTGATTGCTTTGAAATATTTCTCTGCGTTGGCAGTGATTTCTCCACACGGATTCGACGTGTGTAAGGGGAGGTAAGGTGCCTAATGAGCTTTTTCAAAAAAAGGTGCCTAATGAGATTTTTTCATTTGCAAACAAATTTCGGTTGATAGTAGAAATCCAACGTCATTCAACCAAATGATTTTAATGGTCAACTAACAGTGAGGCCTCCAGCATATACGTTTAGTTTTTTTTTCTTCCAAATTTTTTAGTCGGATCAAAATGATATGAATAATTATATAAAAATTTGGGTTTGACATTTAATTAATATTTTTAGTATCTCTATGGCTGAAAATGATAATGCAGTGTTTGAAATAATATTAGTAATAATAGAAATAGTTACTATTATAATAATAATAATAATAGAAATAATGATTTATTTTTTTATATAATATCTATCTCCTTTAAAAAGGGAGATTTTTTTTATGTGGTATTCCTTAATCTTAGATGATGATATCTATTTCTTGTTTTAACAAAATTAGTCTAATTGATTTTATTTGATTAAGTTGTCCCTTTTTATAAAGGTGCTAGATATTTATAATAATCACAACAACAATAATAATAATTGTTGTAATATTCTATTATTAATATTAGTATAAATTATATCTATAAAAAAGGATTATTTGAATGTGACATTCCTTTAATCCTAGAACTTAAGGATATAAGTTGTGACAACTTATTATCATAAAAAAAAACTAAATTTAAAATATGATTAAAAATCAAATATAATATTACAATATTCAATATAAATATTTGAAGTTATTATATCAAAATTTTATTAAAGGAATGGTTAATTAGATGTGACATCTTTTTTAACCTTTGGAATTCAAAGTAAGTTGTGACAGCTTATCTTTAAATTTTTTTTCAAAAAGTGAGAGTAAAAATAAAAAATGTTCTACCAAGAAATTTTAAGATCATAACATCTATAACAATAATTTTAATTATAATTCTATTGAATTGATTTTGGTGTACACTTTAGTCAATTCTATATTCTTAGGATGAATGAGCTGTGACGGTTCAAGAATCCTATATTTCACTAAAATAATATTTAATTAAAAAACGTCAACACTCAAATATTTTCCACAAAGAACTACGTAACTCTGATTCTTCATTGCACATGAAGATACGTAGGAGCAAGAATTAAATCTTGTCGAGCCCAAAAAAAAATAAAATATATTTGATTATTTTAGTGAGATAAATATTTTTATAAATTATAAATAATTAGTTTAATTAATTAAAGGTAATCGTCTTAGGACGAACGTTGTGAGGTGCTAATACCTTCCTCACACGTAATTGACTCCCGAACTCAAAATTTGGTTTTCGTAGACTGTTTTCTATTTTATGGTTTTTCCAATGTTTTTCCGTAAAAAATAACATTGGTGGCGACTCCTCTTTTTCAATTTATTTTTCGCCGTCCCGTCGCGACCGAGGTTGCTACAATATTAAATAATTATTTGTTGACTATGGAATATAGCTGGAGGATGTATTTTAGTTATAATAGTGGTAAATGGTTATCCATTTTACTTGAGCAGTTATGGTGAGTGAGATTAGGTCAAGTGGTAATTATTATATATAAAATTATTAATCAAAGGTATAATTATCTTTAAAAAAAAAAAGTGGAGATCAAAGTTAACAAAATATGTATTTTTTTATATTCAATGTTATAGAGGTATAAATATAGCCTGCTTTGCTCGAAATGCAAAATAAATTATTAAGTTCTTTTGTTTGGTGTGAAATAGAGAAATGCTAAAACTATATTTTATTTGAAAAATGAAAGAGATTTTTTTTACACGTTGCTTGAATTAAGAAGATGGAAGTAAAACGATAATCACAATACAAAATCTCAATTTTCTTATCCTATATTATAAAATTTTATTTTTCATTCGTCGCATGAAATTAAGAATTTCACTTTACTCAACATTTTTTTTTTCAAAAGAAAAATAAAAACATTCTTATCTGATTATTCTACTCCTCATTTTTTTTTCTATATGCATAATATCTTATGTTTAGGGATGATAATGGGATGAGTATGAATTTCGGTATCCTGTTCTTATTTCCGTACTGTACTAACCGTACTTCGCACCCGGGCTCCGAACCCGGATTAGCAATACAAAACAACTCCGGGCACGCGCTGCGCGACGTCAGCCCGATATTTGAGCAACTAGGAACAGGCAAAATATGAATGTTTTTTGTTTTGTCTTTTGATTATTTTGTTGTGTTCCATGTTGGATATAATGTGTGAATATGTAATTAATTTTGAGAATAAATATGTTTTGATATGAATTATAGTGCTCTATGGGTTCCTGAGAGAACTTTATGAGAAACAGGCAAAATATGAATGTTTTCTATTTTGCCTTTTGATTGTTCTGTTGCGTTCCTTGTGTGATGTAGAGTGTAAATATGTATTTGATTTCAAAATTAGATATGTTTTGATATAAATTATAGTGCTCTGTGGGTTCATGTGCGAAAACCTATGAGGAATAATTATGAGTATGACTATGTGAAATATGAACAAATGACATGAGACATTATGTGAATGAGAATGTGCTATTGTGAACACTATGACTATGAGGATGTGAAATGTGATGAGATGAGATAAGCTATGACTATGAGAATGTGAAATGTGATAAGACACGAAATTGCATGACAAGTGAAGTGATCAGTCCATGAGTTTGTGAACGTGTGACATGCATCATGTGCATATATGAGCTAACAAGGTGTACCTTAGGATCACTGGTGATGTAACAAGCTAACAAGGTGTACCTTAGGGTCACTGGTGATGTAACAAGCTAACAAGGTGTACCTTAGTAAAATTACTCACTTAAAATATTAAAAATTAAAATGCATAATTATAATATTATAAATATAAAACCATCACTAAACAAAAGAAAATTATGATAGATATAGTTTTCAAGATAATCAAATTGTTAATTTTCTAAAAATAAATTGAAACTGTAAAAAAGTATTAAAAATAAATAAAAAGCAATATACAAACAGGATCCAAACTCAAAAGTTATGAATAAAGCGAGTTATCTGACTTTACAAGTTTGAAGCTTATCTGAAGAAGGATGCAAAATTAAAAAAGATTATAATGATGAAGACACTTGGCTATATTTAATAAGACCCTTTTTTATAACATTTATCGTTATTAGGTGACTGCATAATGAGACAAATTTATTAAACTGTTACCTGCATGTATGTGTATTATCTACACTTTCAATGTGTATATATATATATTTTAATTTTATTTTTATCCTTCATTTTATGGTGACACGTGGATATAATACAAAATTATATGCAAGTCAAGTCACGTCTGAGAGACTGCACATGCTTCACCATAAAAAAAATAAAATATAAATATAAAATATTTATAATCTCTGTTAATATGAGATCTTTTAAAAATTAATAAAAATAAAATAATGAAAGTTTATATTCAAATAAATAATATCATATTAAGAAGAGGTGTGCATGTGGTACCTTTTGGTGCCAAACAATGTTTGGTAAAGTATTTATTAATTAGTTGAATGTTAATAAATTATTTTTTAATTAAAAAGATTCTAAGTCAATTTATTAAATTAAAAGTGTTTTTGATGAAATTACTTATTAAATTCTTAAACTATTGATAAACATAAAATGATATAAAGGAATGTATTTAACGTGATTTTTATATAATTTTTATTTTATAAATAAAATATTTTTATAACTATACTTTTATATTTTTAGTTGATTTTCAACTCTAATTAATTTTTTATTATTAAATATTATATATTTTTATTAAGAATTAAAAATTTTAAATAATGTAATATTTAAGTAGATGAAATATGAAATGTTTTACTAGCATACTAAAAGTTCACTACGAGAATATTTATAATTTGCTACTATTTGTTATGATTAATAAATTTAGTAGTTAATAATTAATTTACTACTCTCTTTTTTTTCTTTTCACATTTTACTTTCTTTTGATGCATAATTTACTACTCATTCACTACCAAATATATTTTCTAACTAATTTTGAATATTAATTTATTTTTAAAAATTGTACTCCCAATTTCTAGACATTTCACCAATAAAAAATCTTAATTTTTATTTGTGTTCTATCTCTTTCCTCTCTTTCTTTTTCTAGTTAACATTAATTGTAATTGTAATGACCTAACAGGTCATGATATGAATATAAACATGAAAAAAAAATATTTATCACAAAACTTTAACATATAATAATACATAGAGATATGACAAAATATGCACACACATATGAATTTATTTAAATAAACTTTTTTCAAAAGTGCTTTTGAGCAAAAAAAAAAATATGAAAACAAAATAAAATAAGCTTTTTCACAAAATAAAAGTGATTTATGCGCTAGTTAATTTGTAATTTTTTAGAAAAATCATATGAGAGAGTTTTACAAATTAACTTATGTATAATCTGATTTTAGTTTATGAAGAAAATTGAAGTTAGCGAAAAAATACATAGAAGGGAGAAGGGGTTGAATATGTGTGTGTGTGAACAAAGGTATTTTTAAAGCCATTTTCACAAGAGTAATGTTCTTCGTCCTATGCGCTTTTAAATACCAGACAGTTATGCAGAGTTTGCTTAACACAAGGTCATTGCGTCTGAAAGATTTATTGTCTGCTGAAGGAAAATGGTTCAAATAAAAATAATGATTAAAACTCTTGCATTTTCCTTTTCAAGATAGTTTCATATAAGGATAGGCAATAGATAAAGCTTTTCAGTGTAATATATTTGTTAAACAAAATTTGCGTCTTCGTCTGAAAATGGTTTTAATGAAGAATAGACATTAGATGAAGTTTTCAACATGATTTGTCAATTAAGAAGAGTTTGCGTCTGAAATATAAATAAGACAATGCAATCATATTTATACTGGTTCGCTCAACTGAGCTACGTCCAGTCTCCTTCAACTGAAGGGTTCCACTAGATAAACAATTAAGAACAAGTATTTTTTGATCAGCCTCTTCAGGCTCGTAGTGAGTATTATGGACCACCCAGGTCAGAACCACTCCTGGTCCAAGTGTTATCGACCTCTCCAGACCCTGAGTATTTTAGACCTTCCCGGTCACGGCCACTCCTGGTCACGAGTATTCTCAACCACTCCTGGTTGGCTAGCTTCACTCACCAACTCTAGTATTTTTAAACCACTTCTGGTTCCCCAAGTATTCTCGACCACTCCTGGCCCGCCAACTTCACTCACCAACGCTAGTATTCTCTTATCAGCCACTTCTGGCTAGCAGTGAGTATTCTCGACCACCTCCTGGCCCGTCGACTTCACTCGTCGACGCTAGTATATTCTTATCAGCCACTTCTGGATAGCAGTGAGTATTCTTTGACTAGCCTCTCCAAGCTTTGCAAGTATTCTTTACCTAGCCTTTTCAGGCTTTACATATGATAGACGTATAATCAGGTTTGAGTGTTTGGGTTATTCTCACATAGAGGATACATATATGATCTACACTTACTAAGGTTTTACTACCTTAGTCCTACAGAGATTCTAAGTGTGTGGTTTACTCTTTACAAAAAGGATACAAAAGATTACTACACTCACTAAGGTCTCCTTCCTAAGATACACCGGAATACCT